TATGTAGATTATGCATTCATTAGATACTATGATGCTATAAATAATTAACATACAATATGTATATTATATATTCATTAGATACTGTGATAGTATAAATAATTAACATACAATATGTATATTATGCATTCATTAGATACTATGATGCTATAAATAATTAACATACAATATGTATATTATGCATTCATTAGATACTATGATGCTATAAATAATTAACATATAATATGTATATTATGCATTCATTAGATACTATGATGCTATAAATAATTAACATACAATATGTAGATTATGCATTCATTAGATACTATGATGCTATAAATAATTAACATACAATATGTATATTATATATTCATTAGATACTGTGATAGTATAAATAATTAACATACAATATGTATATTATGCATTCATTAGATACTATGATGCTATAAATAATTAACATACAATATGTATATTATGCATTCATTAGATACTATGATGCTATAAATAATTAACATACAATATGTATATTATATATTCATTAGATACTGTGATAGTATAAATAATTAACATACAATATGTATATTATGCATTCATTAGATACTATGATGCTATAAATAATTAACATATAATATGTATATTATGCATTCATTAGATACTATGATGCTATAAATAATTAACATACAATATGTATATTATATATTTATTAGATACTGTGGTGTTATACGTACTATTTGCGACGTGTACTCATGTAATATTTTGGATAAGTGACTTTACCGATGAGTTTATTGGAGGCGTAATGCAGATTAAATATGCAACTGATCTTACCGATATGCCGACTACCTGGACAGACATTAATCAAAACACATTCTATCTCTTTGGTCGTCCATTATGGACTATTGAGATTGGACCCTATAAACCATGCACCACAGTGCACATCAGTGCTCAATTAGAAAAGAATGGCGACACAAACTATTTGGGTAATTTTAGTGTAACGACTGGTACGTATAATATTCAAATAAAACAAATTTGTTTTTTTATCCGAATAATATGTAATTTTCAAATTGGCACCCTTGTGTATCGCAACGAATG